AAATTTTAAAAGCAACCTTTTAGCCAGAAAGTATATCCCAAATGCAAGAAGAAAAGGTGTGAAGGCTATATCTAGTCACATAACTTATTAAGACATAACTCAACAGAGATTAATTAAAACTAAAAAGTGGTTACTCCCATTACTCACTCACTACCATCGAGTCAATTCTGACTCCCAGCAATCCCACAGGACAGGAGAGAACTGTCCCTGTGGATTTCTGAGACTAACTCTTTATAGGAGCAGAAAGTCTCATCTTTGTCCTGCAGAGTAGCTGGTAGGTTCAAACTGCTGACTTTGAGTTGGTATCAACTTGATGGCAGGGAGTTTGAGTTAGTTTGTTTTCCTATATTTTTAAGTGAAGACTCTAATTTTATTATACCTATCTTTAGTCCCAAACTATTACTATACTTCTTGTGTGTTCTTTGTCTCCACATGTCAGATTACATTTTTCACCATTAAAGGTCTGAATTTTGAAAAGAGTTTTGAACGGGTGGCTCATAGCCATTAGCTTGCTCACTTCAGCACCTGTCCCATCTCCAGCAGTTTTTCCAGAACCACTATCTTCATCATGAAGTTCCATGAGTTTTCCCAATTCACACTTGAACTTCCTCAGCATTATTACTTTTCTGAAAAACACATCACAGAGAGGATAGATTGGCAAGCTTTTTTCTATGTCTTTTCCAATGCTGTCTGGAATCCGTTGATCAGCCATGTCTTTTCAGTCATTTGTCTGTACCTCGCGGGTGGTGTTTTTCATCATTTTCTTCTGGATTTGGTGGATCTGTGGGTGCTGAGTGTAAAACAAACCAAATCTGACAGGTTTGTTTGTTTGATTTTGGTTTTTTTAGTAAAGCCACTGCAGAACAGATGAAGCAGAGAGCCACTGGAATAGCAACATGAACTTCAAATCATGGTTTTCCATTCTTTTGACTATGGAGCACAGTTGGTCACATATAAGATTCATGCTATGGAAGTTGGTCAGACAGGATGTGCCCGGAATGTCCTCAGAAATGTCTATATGCAACTTCATCATTTTATAGATCAGCATGGCCCCCTTCAAAAGCATGACTCTTGAGGCCATCAGATGCAAGGTTGAGTCACCGAGTCCCAGTAAAGGAGCTCTGCTGGGATACTGGTTTACTCGTTGGACTGCTAATTTCAAGGTTAGCAGTTGGAAACCAGCACTCCACAAGAGAAAGATGCGCCTTTGCACTCTCAGAAACCCGTGGACGCCGTTTTACTCTGACCCATAGGGTCACTGTGAGTCAGAACCGACTTGAGGGCAGTGCTTTCACAGTATTTCTTACACTGAACATAGCTGGTTCTTTCACACACCAAATTTTCTTGGAAAATGGATCAACAACTTCCTTCTTGCTCCTTTTTTTGCCAACTTCTGTTAAGACACTGTTCTTGCCGAAGGCCAAAGTGCTGCTCAGAGAGCCAAAGGGGCCTATTACTATACTTTTTCAACTGACCATGTTTCATTTGAAAACCTAACTCTATCCCAATTCTACCTTACAAATCCAGCTAGCCCAGAGGATGTACACTGGCACAGATAGGAACTGGGAACACAGGGAATCCAGGACAGATGATCCTTTCAGGACCAGTGGTGAGAGTGGCAATACCGGGAGGGTGGGGTGGAAAGGGGGAACTGATTACAAGGATCTACATATAACCTCCTCTCTGGGGGACGGACAACAGAAAATTGGTGAAGGGAGATGTCGGACAGTGTAAGATATGACAAAATAATAATAATTCATAATTTATCAAGGGTTCATGAGGGAGGAGGGGAGTGGGGATGGAGGGGAAAAAACGAGGAGCTGATACCAAAGGCTCAAGTGGAGAGCAAATGTTTTGAGAATAATGACGGCAATGAATGTACAAATGCGCTTTACACAATAGATGTATGTATGGATTGTGATAAGAGTTGTATGAGCCACCAATAAAATGATTTAAAAAGAAAGAAAACGTCACTCTACAAAAAGGTGATGAATCACAATTATGCAAGATGAGAGAATAATTAAGGGGCAGAGAGGGAACTGTTATGTTAATCTCACGCAGGTCAAAATCCCATTCCTAAAATTCTATAAGATATGATGTGATCAAAAATAAAAAGAAGCAGAGGTGGTAAGAAACTTCATATACATGATCCACAAGCGCATCATTCAAAACAATCAAGCTCATTTACTCATAATCAATTAATTACTCCAAACTGTATGTTTAATTACTTTTAAATATAAAAACATTAACCCCTTAAAAGCAAAATTGATCACTGAGAAAAAAATACAATGGAATACAAGAAAATTAAAGGTAATCTAAAATGAAAACTTTCATTTTAATTGATTTTGTCTTCATGGATGCAACTTTGTATTCATAGATCCAGTACTCATTAAGTTCTTTCCCCAGACCCATACTGACTCCGGATGCCAATAATCCCAGAACATCACTTACTGCACAATGGAGAATCATCTTCAATAACATCTGATTAAGTTAAATGAAGCCTTCCTTATATATGTGCTCTGAGTAAAGATACTATTTGGTGGTTTGTATAGCAATCTTCATTTTTGTATCATTTTCTTCTTTTATTCACAATGTATAAATAGCCTTCAGCATTATATGTGTAAAACTTGCCATGAACAGCTATCATAAGTAATTATCTCATACATATATCATTTCCAAAGTACCTCAATACATAATAGTACTAATTTCTAACAGATACAGATGCTCACTAAATGCTACATGCTTTTCTAAGTGATTAACATATATTAACTTAATCTTTGCAAAACTCCAATGAAGTAGAAAATATTATTATCCCCATACTGTAAAAGGAGAAACTGAGATGGAAAGGCTGCAACAGGCCCAAGTACACATGGCTAATGCTTGGTAAAGTAAGAGAGGGGCTCACACAACCCCATGTCAAAGCCTTAAGGACCAAGCTACAACAGAATTGGTACCCATTAGACCCAGGCATTAAGAAAACTTAAAATCAGGGAGGGGGGAACAAGGAGGGAGGGGGGAAAATGAGGAGCTGATGCCAGGGACTTAAGTGGAGAGCAAATGTTTTGAGAATGATGAGGGCAACAAATGTACAAATGCGCTTTACACAATTGATGTATGTATGGATTGTGATAAGAGTTGTATGAGCCCCTAATAAAATGATTTTTAAAAAACCAAAAATTAAAATCTATAAAACATGATCAAAAGCACAGCTCCACAACAAAGCAGTAGAATATAGAAACAGCACACCTGTGGGTAACATAACTGCTTTGCAAACTTCTGGACAATTTTCACAGGAAAAGGCAATGACAAGGTAGTGGCTGAGTTGGGCACCTTAAGAAAAAAATCTAGTCAATTTAGGAGATCTGCTCTAATCCTAACTCTCCCAAATTTATCATTATTTTATTTTCATTTCTTAGCTACTTTGATTCCCAAGTAGTTTTCTCAATCAGAGAGTGGTATGTTTATTATAATCCTCTACAATAACTCAAAAATTAATCTCACTGCCATTGACCACCCAATTCTGACTCATAGCGACACTATAAGGTAGAATAGAACTGTTTCTTGGGTTTGTGAGACCATAATTCTTTATAGGAGTAGAAAGCCTCATCTTTCTACTAGATGGAGCAGGTGGTTTTGAACTGCTGACCTCGAGGTTATCAACCCGAGTCGTAAGCCATTATGCCACCAGGGCTCCTTTATTCTCTTTACTGACTGACATAAATTAAGCTTTACTAAGTTTGAGCAGCCTTAAGAACTCAATAGTTCTTGGGAAAGCTTATCGGAAAGGTTCTAGATTAAGAAAACGGAGAGAGCCTCACCCTAGAGTACTATGAACTGTAGCAAATCTCAGAGCCTCTTCACTCAATTCTTCAATGTGTGCAGTTAACTCAAGTTAGCTAAAAAACCTCAGAGGACAAGATATACTTCACAAACATAGTTTCAGTATTCTGTTAGATTTGTGAGAACATTTCTAGTTTAGACATTTATAAACTGATGAAATCTTTAAAACAAAAAAAAAAAACAACAGAATATATATTACTTTTATGGGTGTTAATTTTGGATTTTTCCACCTGAAAATATTACAGAAATTGAATTATCCAATCACTATTAATGTTTGCATTGATGATCTTCACAAAAAAGATGGAAAAGTAATTTGACTGTGGAAGTTACATAATTTCATGTCAACTTGAAGAGACATGAAAGTGTAGAGGTGGAGTTTAGCTTGTCAATCAAGTCACAGCCTGATGGTAACTCCTTGTGGGTGCGGCCTTCTCATAAGGAGGGCCCTAGGAAACTTCCTTTCTCTCTCTGCCTTCACCATCCTGCTGGTGAGCCACTCTGGGACCTGCCAGAACCCTGGAGCTGTGCCCACTGCCATTGCATCCACAGGACTTTGCACCACAGCCTGTCACCTTCCTGCATTCTGCATCATTGGTATGGCTGTGTGAGTCTGAAGAGCGACGTATGGACTTTGTATAAGTACCAGACCTATGGGCATGAGGTGGAGATGCTTCCTTGATATATATAATTAAGTCATGATATAACACTCTTACACACATATGAATGTCACTGCATTTGTTTCTCTAGTCAACCCAGCATCACACAATGATTACATTAGTCAGAAACTCTCCAGTGAAACAATCTTACACATTGGCTATATTATTGCTTTGCTACGATTGCTGAGAAATACTGGTCATATCATTTATGGTGGTCCAATACAATTTTCAGGAGTCCTGGTGACGTAGTTGGTTACATATCGGGCTGCTAACCACAAGGTCAGCAGTTTGAAACCACCAGCTGCTCTTCAGGAGAAGGATAAGACTCTCCACCCATTAAGAATTACAATCTCAAACCCGCAGGGGTAGTTCTACCCTGTCATATAGGGTGGCTCAGAGGTGGAATCTAAATGGCAGCAAGTTAGTTAATTCAGTGTTCATGCCAACTAAGAAAGAGTGCAATTCAGAAATATTTTCAATAAAACCTTAAGAGGAAAAAAATACCTCAAGTTCCACAATAGCTGCAGTCACTGCATCTGTTGCGAGAGCACCAGCCTGTAGCTGTTCAATTGCCTATGAAATCAAGGGGAGAATTGTTCATTGTAAAACCACAACTTTGCACACATGCCCACACATTTTCCAAAGGCTTAGCAAAGGTGTAGGCGACATTCATATTTTTAAAAAAAGAAAAGCTCTTTAGTCCTATTCCAAACTTTAAGATATAAACTTTGTAGATTTGTTTTAAGTAGGTGCTTATATTAAAGTTAATTTATCATACAGCTCACTTACTCAAATTAAGAAAGTGAATAAAATCGGACCATTAAAAACAAGATAACAAGGAACTGAGAAACTGAAAGACTTCATTTATCACAGAGCAAAACAGCCACAGAAAGGATATGAATTTGTTTTGGTTTAAGTATCCTGGCAAGTCCTATTTTATAAAGATGACTATATCTATATCTGGGCTAATTAATATCTCTCCCTATATTACTACTCATTACTATTTATAACTATAAAAGTCAGTGGTGTGTCAGAATCCTGTGAAGGATACATATATTATGTTACAATGTATTTAATATTAAGATAAATAATATTTTCTAATATAAGCTACAAAGGTATAAATTTTGGCAAATGTTAAGAAGGGAACTGGTTTCTAATTCAATCATTAAAGCTTTAATTTAAATAAAGAGAAAATGCAAAACTTAAAAATTGTATTCCTCATTAAGAGTATTTTAATAAACATTCATTCTGTGAAAAGGCAGGTTATACCATCCAAAGATATGTTTCTAAGAACTAAAGTCCTATAGAAGTAAAGCTTATGTCTGAAAATATTTCACAAACTAGAAAGCATCATTGTAAGACAGCTTATGGAATTTCTCACATTCTTCTTTACTACCTTTAATTTTAAATATGTACATGCATACAGAGAGAGAGGGGGACTGAGACTGTTGGGGAGTAGAGCCACCAGATAACAAGCATAGGGGGAGTTCCTCAACAACTACCAGAGAGACTCCACTAGGAGAGATATCTTACACTTCCTGGCAGTGAGAAAATAAACATGAAAGATCATTAAACATGCAAAAACTCTGCTGGTAAGAAGATAACGGAGATTATATATATATATAATTATATATATATATATATATATATTTCAGAAAGAAAAAAACTCCCAAATTAGAATCTAATAAAGGCATTTCCTGACAAAGACTAAAGGGATTTTTAAAACAAAGGCCAGCAACACAAACAACATTAACGGGTCACTTGGACAGAGAATCGATAGCAGCAGCAGGCAAACCTGAGAGCACCACACAGCTCACCACCACTCAGAAACCAGCACAGTGAACGCAGCACCAAAGACACGCCGAAACAGAACAATAGACCAATAAAAAGCAAAAAGACCAACACAGCAAAATGACAGCCACAAACCAGCACACATCCATCAATAATGACACTGACTATCAAGGAGCAGACTGAATTAGAAAACTAGACCCATCTAAACGTTGCCTACAAGAGACACATCTTAAACTCAAACACAAATAACAGACTGAAAGTCAAAAGATGGTGAAAAAACCACTAAGTCAATGGTAACCATAAAATGGCATGAATGGCAATATTAATCTCTGATAAAAGAGGCTTCAAGTTAAGTAACATAATGTAAGACAAGAATGGGCACTACATAATGATTAAAGAAACAACGCACTAGGAACATACAGCCCACACAAACATACACACACACAATTATAGACCCCCCGAAAAACAGCAATCAAATTTTCAAAGTGCTGAAAACAGGGTTAGAAGGCTTGACATTAACAGTAGGTGACTTCAATACACCACTGTCAAGGAAAGACAAATCATCAGGAAAGAAACTCAGTAAAGAAACAGAAGATCATGATCCGAATTCTACCTTGCAAGTCTTGCTAGACCAGAGAATATACACTGGTACAGATAGGAACTGGAAACACAGGGAATCCAGGACGGATGATCCCTTCAGGACCAGTGGTGTGAGTGGCGATACTG